TGGATGGATGGATGATGGATGGATGGATGATGGATGACGGATGGATGATGGATGACGGATGGATGATGGATGGATGGATGGATGGATGATGGATGATGGATGGATGGATGGATGGATGATGGATGGATGGATGATGGATGACGGATGGATGATGGATGACGGATGGATGATGGATGGATGGATGGATGGATGGATGGATGGATGGATGGATAGATGGATGGATGATGGATGGATGGATGATGGATGGATGGATGGATGGATGATGGATGGATGGATGGATGGATGGATGGATGATGGATGGATGGATGGATGGATGGATGGATGGATGGACAGATGGCTGGTCAGGCTCACAGATGGATGAAGGGAAGGATGGACACCTGGACACCCAACCAGTGACCCCACCCATCCAACTGCCTCCCAGTCCTCTCCTCTCCCACCTGCCCATCCCAGGAGGGTGATGTCACCTCAAGGTCCCCCCACTCCCACCTCGCTCCAGGTTCTCCATCAGTTTCTCCTACTACGGCTTGGCCATGGACCTGCAGAACTTCGGGGTCAGCATTTACCTCATCCAGGTGATTTTCGGCGCCGTTGACTTTCCGGCCAAGGTGGTGGTGACCGTGTCCCTGAGCTACGTCGGCCGGCGGCTCTCGCTCATGGTGGCCTTGTTCTTCGCGGGACTGGTCATCGTGGCCAACATCTTTGTGCCCACAGGTGGGTGTGGAGGGGGTTCTCCAACACCTGGGTCATCAATGTCCCCAGATCGTCTTTCTCCATGTTTCCATCCCTGTGTGACCACTGACTTCCCCATCCCTCCATCCTCCCTCCCTGCCCCATCCCCACCTGCCCGAGGTGGCCCCGCACGGTGGTCAAGCCCTGGTGTCCCCATGTCCCCCCGCTCGGTGGCCGAGCCGCGGTGTCCCCGCAGAGCTGCAGACGGTGCGCACGGCGCTGGCCGTCATCGGCAAGGGCTGCCTGTCCGCCTCCTTCAACTGCGTCTTCCTCTACACCACCGAGCTCTACCCCACGCCCATCAGGTATCGCCCCGGCCCCAGGTCCCTGCGGTGGGGCGGGTCCTGGGGACGCCTCCCCGGGCACCCCAGGGTGCTCCGTGCCGCCCATGACCCTCCCGGCGCCGCAGGCAGACGGGGCTGGGCTTCGGCAGCACCATGGCGCGCGTGGGCGGCATCGTGGCGCCGCTGGTGAAGATGATGGACGAGTACTACCCCTTCCTGCCCCCCGCCGTCTACGGGGTGGCCCCTGTGGTGGCCGCCGTGGCGGCCGCGTTCCTGCCCGAGACACTCAACACGCCGCTGCCCGACACCATCGAGGAGGTGGAGAACAGGTGGGTGGCAGGGAGGGTGGGGGATGGATGGATGGATGGATGATGGATGGATGGATTTTGGATGGATGATGGATGGATGGATGGATGGATGGATGGATGGATGGATGGATGGATGATGGATGGATGGATGATGGATGGATGGATGAATGGATGGATGGATGGATGGATGGATGGATGGAGGATGGATGGATGATGGATGGATGGATGGATGATGGATGGATGGATGGATGAATGGATGGATGGNGGATGATGGATGGATGGATGATGGATGGATGGATGAATGGATGGATGGATGAATGGATGGATGGATGGAAGATGGATGGATGATGGATGGATGGATGGATGATGGATGGATGGATGGATGAATGGATGGATGGAAGATGGATGGATGGATGGATGGATGGATGGATGATGGATGATGGATGACGGATGGATGGATGGATGATGGATGGATGGATGGATGGATGGATGATGGATGGATGGATTTTGGATGGATGGATGATGATTGAATGATGGTTGGATGATGGACAGTGTATGGTTGAGTGATGGATGATGCATGGATGGTTACATGGACAATGGATGGGTGATGGACAGTGATGGATGATGATGGCCAATGATGGACAATGGATGGACAACGGATGGTTGGATGATTGGCAATGGATGGATGATGGACAATGATGGACAACCCCAGCCACAAAGAGGTTCAGGGTCAAGGGACCCTTGGCTGCATTGAGGGACAGGTGGATGGGGATTTTGGCAGAAGAACGAGCTCTGTGATTGGCTGAATGCTCAGCCTGGGCCACTCTCCCTTTGCCATGACCCTCCTCCTCCTCCTCCTCCTCCTCCTCCTCCTCCTCCTCCTCCTCCTCCTCCCTCCAGGACCAAGCAGAAGCCAGCAGGTGACCCCAAGGAGAAGATCGCGCTCCAGCCCCAGGACAGGTCCCCCCTGAAGGAGGCCTGAGGGACCCTGGGGGTGGACGCAGCGCCCCAGCCCCGGCCACCAGCGGCCACCACCGCAGGGGTCCCCACAGCTTGAGGGGGAGACCTCGGTCGTGACTGGTGACCTCCTGTTGGGGCAGGGACATCCGGGTGGGAATAAAACAGCTCTGGTGGGGACATGTCTCGGGGTCTTCTCTGTGCCCCCCCAGGTCACCCCTGACAGCCACGTCCGAGGTCACCTCCCATGGGACAGTGCCCACGAATTGTGTCCCTGAGGTCACTTCCAATAAGGAGATGACCAAGGACCCCGTTTTTTGGAGGTCATCTCCACAGGAGGACACCCCACAACCTTGTCCGTCAATGAGGTGGCACCCAAAACCCCCGTTTTTAATGACACCTCGTCACCTTCTCCAGTAGGATGGTGCCCAAGAACTGTGTCCCCAAAGTCACCTCAGATAAGGTGGCACCAAGAGCACCACGCTGGATGTCACCTCCAACAAGCCAATCCTCAAGAACTCCAAACTCCAATCCCTCAAATCCCAGAGAAGCTCCAGGAGCTCCCGAATCCTGCCCGGCCCCATCCCGGCGCCGCCGCGACGCCCCTTCCCCGATTCCTGTCCCCCGAAGCCACCTTGGCCCTTGCTCCCGTTTCGGACGTGTCCCTTGGCCCCATCAAGTCCCCATCAAAAATTAACCCCGGCGGGGAATGCGCTGACCCAGGCAGGGCCACCTCCGTCAGCACCTTCCGCTCGCCTTTTGACCACCGAAATCACTAAAATTTAACCCAAAGGCGCCACCGAGGGCCGGGCATTGGTCCATGCCAGGAGACCTCCTCTCCTTGCGGTGCCCACCCAACCTCCTGGACGCCCCCTCTCCAAAATCTGACTTTTCCCCTCAAAAAGGCATCGCTATGAAATAACAATTCAAAAGAATTCCATATTCCTCATCTTCCTGCCCCAAATCGCTCCAGTTTTGCCCCATTTTAGGGGACTTCTGCGCCTAAATCACCTTTTTTTTCACTCCTGGGCACCTTTGCGCTGCACTTTTGCCTTCTTCTGCTGGAAACCCACCAAAAACCCCCCGGAGAAGTCAAACATTAACCCAAACCACCCTTGGGCTGGGTTATATAGGAGACCACCCCTGGGTGCTGTGGAGGGAAGGCGCCGTGTGGGACAAGGAGGCGTTTTTGGGGCGAAACCCCCGAAATCCGGGGTTCTGCATGGCTGTGGGGCGTTCCCGGGCCCCGGTGGTGGCAGGATGGCTTTCGGCAGCCTCCTGGAGCACGTGGGGGGCATGGGGCGCTTCCAGGTGGTCTCGGTGCTGCTCCTGTCCCTGCCCGTGCTGATGATGGCCAGCCACAACCTCCTGCAGAACTTCACCGCCGCCACCAGCGCCCACCAGTGCCGCCCGCGCCCGGAGGCCAACGCCAGCGGCCTCGACCCCGAGGTCCTGCTGAGGGTGTGGGTGCCCCGCGGGGAGCGGTGCCGGCGCTTCGTGACGCCCCAGTGGTGGCTTTTGGAGGCCAATGGTTCGGAGCCCAACAGCTCTTGGCCGGAGACGGAGCCATGCGGCGACGGTTGGACCTACGACCGCAGCGTCTTCACCAGCACCATCGTCACTGAGGTGGGACGGTGGTGGAGGGGTTTTGGGGGGGTTCTGGTGGGCTTTTCACCCAATCCCGTGGGTGGGTCCCACCTGGAGGCACCAACAAAGGCTCTGCTGCCAACACAGCATTGACCTCTCCCAACTGGAGCATCTTCCCGGCTCAACCTTTGGTGGAGACGCTCAACACCAGGAAGCCCCAGGAGAAGAAGGGAGGGATGGGGAGTTGGTGGCCATCAACAAGAGGGTCACCAGGGGGTCACAGGAGCCTTGGATGGACCTTCCAACCACAGCAATGCCATCAAGGGTGGCCGAGAATTAAGTGTCACCTCTCCACTGGCCATGCATTGACCTTACCGGCCACCGCGGGTGGGTTTGGGGTTTGGGAGGCCAGAGGGGACCCTGATCTCTGTCCCACCCCACGTCCTCGTCCCTCGGCAGTGGGACCTGGTGTGCAGCTCCCGCGGGCTCAAGCAGCTGGCGCAGTCGCTCTACATGGCCGGAGTCCTGGTGGGCGGCTTCTTCGGGGGGCTCTCAGACAGGTGAGGGGGAGCTCCTGCAGGTGGGCGGGGTGGCACCGGGAGGTCCTCTCACCTTCTCACCCTCTCACCTTCTCACCCTCTCACCTTCTCACCCTCTCTGCCTCCTCCTCATTCCCTCCTCCTCCTCCTCTTTCTTTCTTCTGCTCATCCTCTTTTTCCTCCTCAACTCCTTTTTCTCCTCGCCTCCTCTGTCTTCCTCCCCTCCTCTTCCTCTTCCCCCTCCTCCTCCGCCCCCATTTCTTCATCCTCACCCCCTGCTCCTCCTCCTCCTCCTCCCTGCCCAGGTTCGGCCGCCGCTCGGTGCTCACCTGGTGCTACCTGCAGATGGCCGCCATGGGCACCTGCTCGTCCTTCGCGCCCACCTTCACCGTGTACTGCCTGTTCCGCTTCCTGACGGGCATGGCCTTCTCGGGCATCGTCCTCAACAGCGTCTCCCTCTGTACGTCACCCCCGCGCCCGGTACCCGCCCTGGCTGCGACCTGGGTGGGCTCCGTGACCCCCTGAACCTCTGGGAGCCATCCCGGTGGTCTCCATGCCCTCCAGGAACTGTCCTGGTGGTCTCCATGCCCTCCAGGAACCATCCTGGTGGTCTCCATGTCCCCTGGGCACCGTCCTGGTGGTCTCCATGTCCCCTGGCACCTGTGGGTCCATGTCACCCCAGAACCTGCCCTGGGCTCCATGTTCCCCTAGGATACCTGTGGGCACCATCCTACTGGTCTCCATGTCCGTTGGGCACTATCCCAATGGTCTCCATGGCCCTTGGGCACCATTCCAGTGGTGTCCGTGTCCCCCGGGTACCATCCTGGTGGTCTCCGTGTCTCCTGGGGTGGTGGTGGGCACTCCCAGCTGGTCCCCACGTGCCGTTTCCCACAGCACTGGAGTGGATGCCAACACACATGCGGGCGCTGGTGGGCACCTTCATGGGGTACTGCTACACCACCGGGCAGTTCCTGCTGGCCGGCGTCGCCTTCGCCGTCCCTGACTGGCGCCGGCTGCAGCTCGTGGTGTCCCTGCCCTTCTTCGGCTTCTTCCTCTACTCCTGGTGAGGAGGAGGAAGGGACAGGGATGGATGGATGGATGGATGATGGATGGATGGATGGATGGATGGATGGATGGATGGATGGATGGATGGATGATGGATGGATGATGGATGATGGATGGATGATGGATGGATGATGGATGGATGATGGGTGGATGGATGATGGATGATGGATGGATGATGGATGATGGATGATGGATGATGCATGGATGATGCATGGATGACTGATGGAGGGATGTCCCCTCCCATGCAGGTGGCTGACGGAGTCAGCACGGTGGCTCGTCATGGTGGGGAAGTCCCACCAGGCCCTGCAGGAGCTCCAGAAGGTGGCCAGGATCAATGGGAAGAAGGAAGAAGGGGACAAGCTCGACATAGAAGTAAAAGACTCCATCGGGTCCCCCAGGGTGTCCCTGGGGTGTTTTATAGGGGGTCCCTTGAATATCTACCCCATGGACAGCTGTCCATCCATCATCCCTTGTGCATCCTGTCCATCCACCCACTCATCTTCATCACCTCAACAGCATCCATCACCTCCATCTCCTCCATCTCCACCCACCCATCCATGAACCCACCATCTCCATCCCACCATCCACCCATGACCCCCCTTCCCCTTTTCCACCCGTCCTGCCCAGACCTGGAGGGTCCCCAGTGCCCCCCGCCCATCCCAGAGCATCCCAGAGCCCTCCCTGTCCCTCCAGACCCTGAGGTCCCACATGGAGAAGGAGATGACGTCGTCAAAGACCCGCCACACCCTGGTTGACCTGGTCCGGACGCCGGTCCTGCGCCGCATCTCCTTCTGCCTCTGCTTCGTGTGGTATGGCCGGCGGTGGAGGACACCAGTGGGTGGTTGTCCATCCCCCTCTACGTCCTTGACCCCCCATGCCACCCCACACCTCCCCACAGGTGATATTTTATCCCCCCTCCCATCTCGTGGCCCAGGTTCTCCACCAGCTTTGCCTACTACGGGTTGGCCATGGACCTGCAGAACTTTGAGGTCAACATCTACGTGATCCAGCTGATCTTCGGCGCCGTGGACATCCCGGCCAAGCTGATGTCCATCCTCACCATCACCTACGTGGGGCGCCGCTTCACCCAGGCCATCACCCTCATCCTGGCCGGCTTGGCCATCCTGGCCAACGTCTTGGTGCCACGAGGTGAGGCCGGGGGTGGTGGCAGTGGTGTCCCCTCATCTCCAACCTTCCTGGGAGGGCCCGGATGAGCTCAGCCCGTTGATGGAACCCCCAGGTTCGGTAATTTTACCTTTTTATGGGGGATTTGCCCCAATCCCGGTGTTTGGGGTCTCCTCTTGTCAAGTGAACTCAGCGCAGGTAGGGACACTGAGGTGACTCCCAGGTGTCCCGCTGTCCCCTCAGAGCTCCGGACAGTCCGGACAGCCCTGGCCGTTTTTGGGAAAGGTTGTTTGGCCGCGTCCTTCAACTGCGTCTTCCTCTACACGGGCGAGCTCTACCCCACCGTGATCCGGTAAGGCTGGGGCGTGGCCGGGGCGGCTGTGCCGGGGTGGTCCCTCAGGTCCCTCAGGTCCCTCAGGTCCCTCAGGTCCCTCAGGTGCCCTCGGGAGCTCCGTGTGTCCCACAGGCAGACGGGCATGGGCTTGGCCAACACCATGTCGCGGCTGGGCAGCATCATGGCCCCCCTGGTGAAGATGGCGGGCGAGCTCTTCCCGGCGCTGCCCTTCGTCATCTACGGCGCCGCGCCCGTGGTGTCGGGGCTGGTGGCCGCCTTCCTGCCCGAGACACGGAACATGGCGCTGCCCGAGACTGTGGAGGAGGTGGAGGGAAGGTGGGGCTGGAGAGGATCAGGGATGAGGGGAGGGGATGGATGGTGGATCGGGGATGGTGCTGGGATGGGATGGAGGATGGGGAGGGACAGGGGGTGGGACAGAGGGAGAGAAGGGTTGGTTGAAGGGGGGGGTGGAGGGATGGAAGTTGGTTGGGAGGGATGGATGGATGATGGATGATGGATGGATGATGGATGGATGGATGGATGGATGGATGGATGGATGGATGGATGGATGGATGATGGATGGATGATGGATGGATGGATGGATGTATGGATG